GATTAAACTTTAATAAGGCACTTCTGCGCCAGGCCAGACCGCAAAACTGACTGAGGCTTCCCTATACAAAGACAGAAAATTAAATGAAAAATAATAAGCGACAATAATAAAAGACGTTCACGACAACGGCACAGTATATAACGATGGTATTTACAAAAGAATGAAAACGGCGGTTGCTTGGCACTTGGCATATTTAGCCGCCAGCTCCTTTGCAAATACATATATAATCACTCATAATATATAAATGCAGATATTCGTTCGCTTTTTCAATTTCATTGAAAACTCGGGAGAATTTCGCTAATGCAAATATATATACATATTTATATACCCGAGCTTCACCTTTACGCGCAGTTATTGATACGTTTCTTGTATTATTCGTCAACCATTTAGCAACGTGAATCGGGTTGTAACTGCACAAATATTAAATGTTATGAATATTCCGGCGTAACCAGACAACCAATCAATCATGGAAAAATTTCATTTTTGCACGATGGTGGTACCAAACAAATACAAACCGCAGTAATATTCGTGATCCGAAATATTTTTTTGCAAAATACATGTGTTTCCCAGTATCACCTTCAAATATTAGAGTTGAAAACAGGACGCACTATACTTTTCACCGAAACTAAAACCAAATAACTCTAAATTTGTAACTCAAATTGCACATACTATGAAAAATTCGCAAATACAACACCACAAAGCCCCGGATTTGACATTTGATACATAAAGTAGTATTGTTCGATTTTCTGACAATTGTTTTATCAGTGGTGCCAAGTCATCTAGAGGAAGTCACTATTAGCCATGGTTAACACTGCGCTGCGCGGCACCATACCCAACCGACGTTAGCACCAGGGTTGCCACTGACGAAAAAAAATATTTACCATCCACTTGAAAAAAATCTACCAAATCTGGGTAATATCTACCAATAACTTTTTATAATTATTTTAATCAAAACTATAGTTTTGTTATTTTTTTATTTATTTTAATTAAAACTATACTTTTCTTTATTTTTTTTAGTTATTTCAATAAGAATTAAAATTGTTTTTAAGAACTTTTTATTTAACTAGTTATACGGTATTTGAGTCATATTATTGGCATATTCTCAGTTTCCTTCAACCAAAAGCGGAAGTGATGAAACTATAGGCAACAATGAAACTTCATTATTTGAAAAACTTCAACTCGAGTTATTATAGACAAATACCGTGACTCAAAAAAGTGATTTTTTTTAATATTCGCAATATTTTTCGAGTAAAAATTTTTTATTGCTTTAACTAAATCCATAAAAATCGAGGATTCAAACTATATACAACATATAGAAAAATTCCAAAAATTTTCTTCTAAATTTCGAATTTTTTACTCTGAATTTTTAGAACAATTTAAGGTATGGAGTTTTAAAGCAAATACTATTTGAGTATATATATAACAATGTGCTGCTTAAAATTCCCGTCGATTTTTTTATTTTTTTTTCTATTGATAAAAAATGGTGTCGATTTAATTTTTTTGCGAAAAATCATAGTGCGTAATTACATACCTGTCAATTTTTTTTTTATATTTAAATAATCATTTAAAATATTTAGGCAATCAAAAGCTCCTCGGGATTCCAGTAAAATTAGTTTGAATAGAGCGAGATATGTTCGCCTTATATCGATATACATTTATACGTATGTAATTATATAAAATGTATGCAAAGAATTTTTTAATATATTTAAAGATAACTACGAAAAATAAATCGGGAACGGAAAGTTCATCAAAAATCTACCAAAATGAGAAAAAATTTACCTTTTTACCAACCCAATTTTTTTCTACCAATTTTGGTAACAATTTACCAAAGTGGCAACCCTGGTTAGCACCCCGTTTGTGAAAATGTTAAGATTTTTGTATTGCAATCAATAGTTCGTCGATTGCTCTTTAATGTTCGTCCATTTTTAACGTTTGTTCGTTAGCCAACAATTCATAATTAATTTTTCAATTTACACTTTACGTAATTCCTGAAGTTAGCACCCGCAGCAGATTATTTTGGGTTAATTCCCTGCAAGAACAGTGACTATCATTTGACAAATCATTTGAGTAGCAAGGCTGATAGAGATTTCTGTCACTGCCCTGCAGGGAGTGACGTTAGCTTATACCTAACTTTAGTCTGTATACGCGAACACTAGTGCTAACTATTAACTGTGTATTTTGTTCGAAAAATGCTAACTACTTTTGTGGGGCGATGGCCGCAAAAAAGTCAGACCTGGATACCTCTGCATTACATGTCAACTAAGTTGTAACTAACTACTTTTGGACATAAAATATCAATAAGAAAAACAAA